TTGAACATGCAATCAAGATGCATTGATAATAATGGGTGACTGGAATGCAAAAGTTGGGGATAGTGAAGAAGAATCAGTAGTCGGAAAACAAGGGCTTGGTGACAACAATATACCCATAAGGAAATCTTACCTTCCCTTACTTCCTTCCTTTTATTCTGATTTTCATTAATCCTTCAGTATCTCTTGGTATCTTTCCTTTCTTTAGTGATATTTTGATAATCATTCCCTTATTTTTTGAAGTGTTTTTAAGGGCTTTTAAATTTTTTTGTTTTACTTTTTTCCCTGTTTTTATTATTTGTACACACACACACACACACACACACTTCTTCCTTCTCTCCTCTAATTCCCCTTGTAAGGCTATTAATTGTCATACACATAATTTCTATTGTCCATTTCTTTCAAAATGTCCCTTTTACTCATATCAGTGCAGTAGTCATTATCTCTCTATTCTTTTCCCACTCTTCCTCCCTCTCTATGTCTCTATCTTATTATTACAATAATGGGCTTATGCAGTATTTGTTCCTTTGTAACTGAAATATTTCAGTCAGCATACTGTCTTGTTCCCATCTTTTATGTTGTCTTTTCATTCACTCAACTTACTTTTTACTAATTTTCTCTCTCTCTTCTCCTCTGCTCTTCCTCCATTTTCATCTTTAGTAATCATCCAAAAAATATTTTGTTATGAACAAATCATTGTATGTACAAAATTAAAATTAATTAACACTGTATCTTTGCAATAAACTCTTTTGTTTGACTTCGATTAATTTGACAGAGCTTATGTTATTGCTCTGTGAAGTGTGATTGTACTGTACATCCACGATATTGAGCAGTCTTCAGAGCAGCCTTGGGTCTCTCCCAGCACTGTGATTTATAGTAATTGTAGTACTTGACGAGTTTCTTTGCCATGGAAATATCTCAAATATAAAGTAAGAGTTGAATCTCGGCATTTCAACAAGTTGCCACACCAGAACATTTTAGCTTTCTGTCTTGTGCTTTTAAAATAGAAATCATAAAGAATTCTCATAGAAACTGAATTCAGTGTGAAATAAGTTTATTGGAACTTGAAGAAAGCATACATAATCAGCAGAAAACTTTTCAGAATGAGATGAGAATCATTAGAATTCATATGCTTCTGTACAGTGTATATTAAGACTACCTTAATAATGACTTTGCTTGTTTTAGTACTCTTCTGTTCCTCCACAGAAAGAAATGTTTAGAACCCAGAGTACGTTAGCATTGAAGCACTTTCCTGAAGAAAAGAACAGGCTTGCCCCTGATTAAGAGAAAAGAAGAAGCCAACATTAATGCTTTTGCAAATATTCTGTTTTTAACTCCCTTTTATCTCTCTTAGTCTCTCACTGTTATCTCTCTCACTCTCTACACACACACACACACACACACACACACACACACATCTGATAGCATAATATGTAGATAGTTGTGCAGCTAATTAAAAGACCAATGCCTCTGTGGTCATATGAATCCTTTAGTAGTTCTGAGGAAGAAAGATGAACAATCTTTTCCTGTGTGATCTTAGTCTTGGAAACCCCAGACAGGATCCACTTTGCATAGGGATGGAGCCAATGACAATGAGTAGCAGTAGAGCAGTAGTAGTAGCAGAAGTATATGTATGTGTGTTAAAATTAGACACTGAATAAAGATAACAGAAGAATATATATCTCTGAATTGTGGTGTTAGAGAAAAGTATGAATATCCCATGGACTGCCAAAAGAACAAACAGATAGCTCTTGGGGAAGGTGCAGCAAGAGTGCTCTTTGGAAGCAAGGATGGTAAAGCTTCATCTCACATACTTCCGACATGTTTCTAGGAGGACAAAAAAGCTTGGAAAGGTGGAGAGGAAGAGAGATGGTAAAGGATAGGAAAACCCTCAATCAGGTGGATTGACACAGTGACTGCAGCAATGGGCTCAAGTGTGTCAGAGATTGGGAGGACGGCACAGGATAGTCAGGATTCAGATTGGTTTTTCATAGGGTCACTATGAGCTGTACTCAACTTAAAAGCACCTAACAACAACAACCATAACAACAGTTTTTGAATAGGATCCCTCATCATGTGGAGCATTATGTGCTATACTGTTAACAAAAATGTCAGCACTTCTTTTTTTTTTTTTTAAGCTATTCACTTTAAGGATTTTATTTGTAACCTTCAATAATCTATATAGTATTCTCAGTATATTTACAGACAAGGAAAGGAACTTGCTCAAGGCCATATATGCACAGAGGCAGATGCTAAGCAGAACCAAGTCACTTGGACTGCATGGTCCCTTGACACACTGTTTTTACTGTGTGACACTGGCTCCCTAAATTCTGAAGATGGATTTTTATATCTTTATCAGACATGGGGTTAGAATCCATGCTGAAAATGAGATGGGAACCTCAACTTTGCACCTAATTATTTTCTTATTAAAAATTTCATAAAGTTAATAGATTTCCTTAAGAGATTTCCATCTCCCAGGTTATAGATAAAATATTAACTTGCTGCAGCAAGCCTAGAGGTCAGTACTAGTGTGTTAAAGGTTTAAAAAATGATTCTAATGTCAGCATGCCTGCAGGCCGAGGCCTTTTATTACTGGAGGCCAAAGGACTCTTGGGATTTCTTTTGCCTTGAGGAGAAACCACAGGAACCACCTGGGGGCTTGGGGACTGAGGGTGTGAAAAGGATTTCTGTAACTCCAATGCAAAATGATAGTCCATATGTTCTGGCATTTCCCATACTGGCACCAGGGAGCTACACTTGTCACAGGAAACTTGGTCTTCGGCATCCAACAAACTCGGAGTAGTAGCTGCCTTTGGAGCCACGTCCACCGCAGACTTGGAAGTGAAAGGAGCAAGCCTGCTTGGGCTGCTCTGGGCCAAATCCATCTCTGCACAAACTGCTTCAGAGGATTCTGGTTTCAATACATCTTCATAATCTGGATTTGGTGTCAGACAGGAAACTGAAGGATTAGGAAGTGCTTGCTTCTTTAGGGCTTCCAGACTTTTCTGCTTAAAAAAGGGCTCAATTCCCTTGGTCTGACTCTTTTGGAAAAACGCTGAGAGTTCGTGGGATTCTGAGTGGTGGGAGTACGAGATGGAAGTGAAGCTTCTTTGACTTTCTGCTTTTCGGCAGCTTTTCAGAAAAATGTCAGCACTTCTAACCCCTGGTCATTCCACAGAAGGAATGTAAAGAAGTCTCCTCCCATTAAGATTTATAGCCTTGGAAACCTGTTCAAAGCTGTCATGAACTGGAATTTATTGCACAGAAGGTTTTCCAGAAATTAAGTGATTATTTGAGTTATTCAAGTCAACTATATTTTGTTGATTGTATCCTTTTATTTTTCAATTTATGCATTGTCTTTAAATGAAAGACAATGTTCTATAAAGTTTAAGAGGACAGATTCTAGAGCTACACTGTTAGGAATTAACCCAGGAAAAAACTATGTGACCTGGGAAATTTTCTTAATATCTGTTTGCCTCAATTTTCTTATCTGAAAAATGGGACCAACAATACAATTTATGCCTAAGATTTTCATGAGGACCATATGAGTTAACACACTAAAGCACACAGAATATTGATTTTGTAGAGATCAAGATTTATAGAAATATTAGCCTTTATAACCATCCTTTTGTGATAGGTGCCCAAGAATAATCTTGAACAAACCCAAAAATAATCTGACAATTACAAGGGTACAAATGTGGAGTGCACAGTAGGTACCCTACTGACCTTGAGTCTCCTCAGCTGTGTATGTTGGGACATTTTTGCACATGGTAGCAATAGATTTCCCAAACTTGTTAAGATCATTGACTTGCTCAGAGTTGATTGAGTACATCAGGCTCTTAGGAGGTGGTCCTCTTGCTCCTTTATCTTGAAGCTGAACATAGAGAGGACAGGTGGAAAGGAAGATAGATAATTAATGTCAAACCCAGTATTCATCAACCTCAGGGTTAGGTATAATGCAACAGTGAAAATTTTCATAATCAAGATGAACAGGCAACTCCAGGATTGTGTATATCAGAATTGCTAAATGTCCTAGTGTGCTGGAAACATCAGCATCTTTTGAAAACCGACTTCTGAGATATTTAACTTGAAGCCTGTATCTCAATTGATCTTTCCTGAATTGAGTAATGGAAAAAAAGAGCTTCTTACATGCTGTTTATTTGCTTTTGCTAACATTTCAATTAAAGGTACTTAAGCAGGAGTGGCATCCACTTCCTAAACAACATACCTCTAGAAACTCTACGAACTTTGATAAATGTTGATAGTTGTAGATGGGCATCAGGCCTTTTGTTCATAGAATGGCTATGAGTCATGCTCGCCTTGAAGGCAATCAACAACAAAAACATTTATCAGTTATAATAATATGAATCTGTCAAACGTTTTCAAGTATTGTGGATTCATACCCCACCCCGCATCATGGACAAATAATGTGTTTTGGAGAAAGTCCACTAGAGTGCTCCTAAAAGGTAAGGATGCCCATCAAAAAATGAATGGAGAAGCTGTGGTATATTCACACAATGGAATACTACACTGCATTGAAAAACAAGGAACTCATGCAATATTATTCAAAATGGGTGACCCTGGAGGACGTTATGCTGAGTGAAATATCTCAGTCACAAAAGGACAAACACTGCAAAGTGTCACTGCTGTAGAATGGGACTGACATCAGGGTTAGGGTAAGAATGAGAAAAACTGGATGAATTATGTATACTGCATTGAAACTGATGAGGGAGAGAACAGTTTAAAAGCAATATATTTTAGGGCATTATGATTATCATAGGAGTCCAGAATGAAGGTTGAAGAGTGGAGTATACTCGGGCTGGGGGTGGGGGTGGGATGCGGGGGGATTGCATATCAATGAAGAAATTTTTCTTTTACTTTTCAAAGAGAAGAGCGAACTGGGGGTGGGGTGGGGTGATCGGGGAGAAAATTGCAACAATTAATGAATGAAAATCCAAAATATCTGTAAATGTTCATTGAAATTAATAAAACAAAAAAGAAAAGGTAAGGATGGTGAAGATTCATCTTATATATTCTGAGCATATTGTTGGGAGATGCCAGTCCTTTGAAAAGGACATCATGCTTATGAAAGTCAGTGAAAGAGAGAAAGACTCTCAATGTGTTGGATCAACACAGTGACTATAACAATGGCATCAAGCATGTCAGAGCTGATAAGGATGGCACAGGATAGGGCAGGGTACAGATCTATTATTATTCATAGGGTGACTATTAGTTATGGTCAACTTGACAACACTTTATAAAAAAAATTCCCATTAGCAGTTGTCATATAAAGCATAGAATACCCAGTTATATTTGAAGTAAAAACGTAGTGAATAATTTTTAAACTATAAGTATATCCCAAATATTGCATAGCACCTACTTTTACTAAGCAATTATCTACTGTTTACCTGAAATTGACATGTAACTTGAATCCTGCTTTTTTATTTGCTAAATCTTGTGACCTTAATCCAAATATTATTTTAAAATGACATGACAAGAGGTGTACTTCTCTAATGGTCAAAGTTATCTAGTGTCTTGCTCAGCTATTGTTGAAGCAAATGTTAGCAACAGCATTTGAGTGTGATGGAAGCCACTACTCTCAGGAAATTGTTTCTCATTGCCCTTTCACTATTCCTTTCCTGTGTTACACACTGAAGGATACTAAGGCCAAGAAGGAGTCACTGAAACAATCTTATTGTTTATTATTATTTTTTCTTTCATAAGAATTCATATATCTATTTATATATATAAAACATATTTTATATATTTATATAAAACATTTGTGGTTTTTTTTTACCTTCTTCTCCTTAACCATGGCATCAAGGACATGAATGGGTGGCACAAATTCCTGGTTCATTTTATGCACAATACATATCTTCTTGGCAAAAAGTCTGGTTGCAGCAAAGCCCTAAAAGATGATGGAGAAGTGAGAATGAGATGTGTTTTCCATGGAGCTATTTTCATCAGAAATCAGTTCCAGTATCAGAAGGAAATGGAATTTCAAAAATGTGTTCACTATACGTGACTGTGTTTTGTAATCAGATCTATCATGTCGGAATGAATAGTAAGAACAATTTTTTAAAATTTTATATTGGTTTGCATACAAAATTTGCATACATTGTGCTTCACAATGTACGTTGTATTTCACACATTTCTCCACTCACATTATATTTCATACAATCATTTCCACACGTTGTATTTTACAAAATTATTCACCATTGACATATACCCATTATCACCCCATCTTTTCAGGTCCCCACTGGGTCTTTCTTAATTCCTTCACGCCTCCCTCTGCTCACCAACTCTGCGACCCCATGTTATTCCCTTCTTCCCACCCTAGCTCCCCTGCCTTTCTCCTTCCCCCTTTTACACACATCTTACTAGTTATCCTTCTATTTTTACAATAATGGTTTTATGCAGTATTTTGAACATCAAAAAGTTTAAAGGAAAAGAACTATTCTCTATTTTGTTGCCTTATCACGCAGATACTTTGTGTCTATCATCCTGTTTGTTTTGCTGAAATTAATTTTAAAAGACACTATTATTGCAATTTTTTTGATCCTCAAAAATCTCTATCCGAAATGTAAGATGGGATTTGGTATTATTTGATCATATGATGATAAAAGTGAAACAATAAAAAGCTAATGTTTAAAAAATATTATTTGCTAAGAGATGAATTTTCTAACTAATGTCATGTGCTCTTTTTGTTTATTATTATTATTACTTCCTTCATCAATTAATATTGCCATTAGACACTGTGAGTTACAGGTTAAGTATCCTTTTCTGTCTTGAACTATACTTTGTCTATAACACTGTGTAGCACTTTCACTATTGAGACAGGGCAAAAGATTTGACATTTTTTATAGTTGTTTTGTATCTCCACAATTTCTTGAACACAATGGATCCTATTAAGAGTTTACTAATTCCAAGTTTAGCTGAATGTGGTAAAAGTAATTAACAGTGGTTATTATAAAGACTGTATTAAGTGAGAAAATAGGTCCTTTTTTCTTCCTAATGAGGGAGCTCTGGTATCCAAACAGCTAAAGAGTTGTACTTTCATTCCAACACAAAGACAAGTGGTTAAATCCACCAGCTTCTCTGCAAGAGAAATATGGTCAATCTCCTCCCATGTGATTAACAGCCTATGAAAACCTGTTGAAGGACCAGTTATAGGTCAGTTCTGCCTTCACAGCAATGAGTTTTTGGTGGACTTTCGTTGTTGTTTTGTTTCTTAAAAATATGTGCTAATGTGTTAGGGTTGATCACATAGTGGTTTAATAAAAATAAATCATTTGATACTATGTTTTGGAGGAACATTCTTTTAATTTGTACAGCACCCTTCTGTCAATTTCTTGTGCTGAGGTAATCTGGATTTGCTGTGCTGATGAACCTTTTACTGGGGTCTCAAAAGCCATAATGGCTGCCCATGGTGGACAGTGTTTGATGGAGCTCCCAGTTTTAAGATAGGTTGGGAAGCAGGAGTGGCATCCACTTCCTAAACCACATGCCTCGGCAAACTCTATGAACTCAGAGAAACGATAGTTATAGAAAGGCCTCAGAACTTTTGTTCATGGAGTTGGTAATCAACAACAACGTGTTAAGGAGGTCTGGTTGTGTCTAGTGGTGAAAAGTTGTGTTGCCAACCATCTAATCCATGTTTCAAAAGATGAACAATACTTTTACATGTGATTCCCTGCCTCTGAAAACCTGCTGGACAACAAGTTATGAGTCTGTTCCAACTTGAAGGCGTATAATATATAGTTAGAATTGATCTTATGCTTTACTTGGCTAACAAGTTTGTTTATTTATGATATCTCATTTTGTCTACTTACGGTTTTGTAGTCCCAGAGAGTGTTCCAGGAGTCCCAACCATTGTTGTTGTCGACATTGACCAGGTTGTGTTGGTTGTTGATGCTCACTGACTGCTGTCCACTGCCTCCAGTGTTGTCATCATCATTGACATTGATATTCTGTGGTTTACAAAAAATTGAGAAAGACTTAATATTACATTTCTTTCCAAATGTATTTTGATAATAAGTGCTAAAATGTGAGACTTACATAATCAGCAAGGGCAGGAGCTATGAAGACTCCTAGAAGTCCAGCAAAAAAAATCTGCAATACAAACATGATTGGCTTAGTTTACATAATAAACTCAACTCCTTTCCTTTTCTTCTGTTCACATGTAAGGAAAATGTTTACTAATATCATCCCTCTGCTGCATGGTTTTTCTTTGATCTTTCCTTCTTTATATTACTTTGTTTTTTCTCTGTGTTTTTTTTTAACCAGAGAAAGTTATTGATGATGTGAAATTGTAAATTTTAAGCATTAATTATAAATAATTATGCTAATATGTGACATAGCTTTGAAGTTTTTAAATAGTGCGAATGGTCAATGAGTTTAGCCACTAACTTAATGGTTGGATGTTCATATCCACCCAGAAGTTCTTTTGAAGAATATCTCATGGTCCACTTACAAAAAAATATCATATCCTACACAGTGTTAATCAGACATTGGGATTACTGAGTTAGAAACTACTCAAAGATAACTGAGGAGTAGTTTTAGAATTTTTAAATTTATTTCTTAATAACACAAGAGTATAATTCTTGTGAAAAGTAAATTTGAAACTGAATACTGAATAGTGCACACAACACCAAAAAAAGTTTATGAATTTCAAAAATCACATCTTAAAATTATTTCTTTTTCTATTTGATCTAGAATGTGTTCCTCTCTTTGTCAACCTCTTGTTGTTGTTGTTGTTATGTGCTATAGAGTCGCATGCGACTCATAGCAACTCATGTACAACAGCCCTAAACTCTGCTCTGTCCTATGCCAATAGCACTGTCTCCAATACACCCATCCTGATTACCGCAGTCACTGAACCAATCCCTCATAGAGGGCCTTCCCCTCCTGTGCTATCCCTCCACCCTCCCAAGCATGATATCCCTCTCCAAGGAACAGTCCCTCCTTGCAACATGTTCAAAGTATCTCAGATGAAGCCTCAGGATCCTTGCCTCCAAGGAACAACCTGGTTTAGCCCTCTCATCAACCTCTTAGTGACAGAAATAAAATACACTTTTTAAAAAGTGGAATATTAGTCAGCAGATTGGACACTGATGGGAGATCTGGCTAATAGACATCATTTTAGTTCTAATTATGTACCAACAACTCATAGTTGGCCCTCTAGTGGGTTTTCAGAGACAATAAACAGTACTTTCTCTCACAGAGCAGAGCAGCCTGTGAATTTGAACCATGTGCTGTTACCTTGGCAATGCAACTCCCTACCACTAAGCCACCAGTGCTCCTGTAGGTAAAGTAAAGTTAGTAATGATGTCCAGCAAAACTTACTTTACTCATTTGTTCCTCAACACATCATACTGGGTTTCAGAACAGAAAAAGAATTCCAGATGCCCGTTATAAGTACATATTAGTGTTTCATACTTAAGGAAAAATAGTTTGATGTGTCCACTGGCATTGGAGAGATACTCTAAATTGGAAACTAATTGATAAGTGTGGGTTAAAAAGTCTTAGGTGGAAGAAGTCTTTGAAATCTAAGAAAATGCAATGTTTTTTAAAGATGAGAAAACTTAGCTTCAAAGGTTAAAGTACCCTGACAAGGCCATAACCTTTAGTTTGAGGAAGAATAAGGAGAGAAACTAGATCTCTTGAACCAAGTCTACAGAGCTAGTTGGTTGTTTGTTTTTTTGATGCCACTATTAAGCTCTAACAACAAAATCTAATATTTCTGAGTATATTCCAACTCATGGTGACCCCGTATGTCTCAGGGTAGAACTGCTCCATAGGGTGTCCTTGGCTGTAATGCTGACCACTATTAGATTGTCAGATGTTTCTTTGGTGATTCTGCTAGGTGGTTCCAATCATTTTGGGGAAATAGTTGAGCATAAATTATTTGTGCCATCTAAGAACCAATAGGGCAGCTAATTTGTAGATAATTTATTTACACTTGCAGCTCCATTCTAAGGCAAAAGTTTCTGTTATATATTCTAGTGCTCAGTATATTGAAATATGAAATAATCTTATCTACTTATAGCCTCTTATATTCTGTTGCAAAAGACACATGAAACTATAAATTACATAGGCAGAATTTTATGGTCTACCTGTTAACACTAGAGAGTAATATCCCAGGTGATAAGCGCACTAGCTTCATGCTTTAGTACTTCCATGAACAAGTATATGTATATATGTATTGGTTTGAAGGCAACCCTTTCTCAGTTGAAGATTTCCCAACAGAGAATGCAATAGTGTTTCTCTCACTCACTTGTTTTGATAATAAGCTTTTCCTCTTGACTGAACATTCTCAGTAGTTTTGGTAAAGTAGAAGCTAAGAAAGCTGAGGAAAATCAAGACTTTCTAGCTTTAGGACTCCTCTTCTCTCTATGTCTTCTCTTCTATGTCTTCACCAGTCCTGCGGTCTGGTGGTAACTGAATTAATGACAGCATAGCCCAAGATGCTCAGACAGTGTTTATCCTAATATAGTTCTTATCCTCTCTAGGAGATAACTGCTATGATTCCATGAAAACAAAATGGAGAGACTGTTACAATCTTTGCATTACAGCATTATAGGGATATTGCTATAAGAAGAAGGACTTCTATCTCAGAATAACAGTGTTAAACTATATAGTAATAAGATAAAAAAATAAATAGTCTACTCACTGTGAACTTCATCTTGTCTCCAACCAAGCTATAGAGCAGAGAAAAAGGCATGCATGGATTCAGGATGGGCAAATTTTGGTATATATAGCTGACTTGCTTTACTCAAGCTTCATGTGACGAGGTGGGGTCACAGACTTATCTTTCTTTCCTGTACCTTGTATGAGACAGTGCCATCAGGAAGTGTGGTTTTTTTGTTTGTTTGTTTTTTCAATATCACACAGGTTAGCAAGGAACTTTGACATGGTGTCACTTTTACTCATCATCTGTTGAACGTATCGTGATACGATTAATGATAACTTCTGGTGCAGTTGGAGTTGTGGGTGTTGGTATTTTGTACCTTGATATTACATAGATTTGGATAAAAATAATCCCTAAAATCAAACAAAAACTAGATGAAGCATCATGTGCATGCTGGACCTTACAGATAACCAGATGTGGCTACCTTTTCCTGAGCACATTGTAACAGGTTTGCTTACTTAGCTCTGTTACCTAAAATAAACAAACCACTCCTCCTCTTTCAAACAACTGATGTGAAACGACTTCCCACTGATGGTGACCTTATGTGCCCATGTATGTCAGAGTAGAAATGTGTTTCATAGGGTTTTCAATGGCTGGACTCTTTGAATATATTGTGAAATTTTTCTTACTAGAAGTATAAGAAATATGTGAAGGGAAGTTCAATCTTAAACAAATAGGTAATAAGACATTATATATATTTCAATTAACAAACTGGAATAGGACACAACTATGGATTAAATGGGGATGAAGAGGACAAGAAAAGAGGAAAAATTAATAAATGGGTGAAGGGAATTAGACACTGTAAACATTTAGTTACATCAGTCAGTGGAAGGAAATAAGTACCTATGAAAAAAAAATCAATGTGATTTATAAACTTTCACTCAAATAAAATAGATTTTTAAAATATAAATCTTTTAGCGATGCATGCAATCTGCTGTGCTGAGGAGGGGTATCTTGGCAGCTTAACATCTGGGAACAGACAGCCAACCCCGTGCCCCCGGTAGTGCCCCAGCCCCTCAGCTCCCACAGCGTCTCAGTCCCATGCTGGGTCTGCAGTGGCACCCCACACCCACCCTTGCAGCACCCCAGGGACACTAGAGAGTAATTCACACCATACAGAGACTGACCAACAGCCGTGGACAGTAGGATTTTGAATCAGAACATTGGAGCAATTAGTTTCGAAGCTACACGAACACAGAGCCACATTGCAGATCCAGCCAATGCCCAAAGGCACCAACCCAGCTGCTGGCAGGAGAGAGGCTGGTAGGATCCTGACTGGGTTTTCTTGGGTACCACCAATTGCCTGGGATAGCCCCCAAGGGTGAGCCCACTGGGTGGGAATTTGGCTGAGCTCTCTTGGGCCAACCTGACTGCCCAGGAACGAGTGGGCCAGTGGTAATTTGTCTGAACTTTTGTGTACACTGCAGACCAGCCAGAGGCCAGTGGGTCAGTGGGAATTTGACTTTGATTTCTTGGGTCCCGATGGATCCAGGACCCTATTTGGGCAGGGGCCACTGCAAGAGGTCGCCTGCATAAGAGCCACTGGGAAAGGACCACTGAGTGAAAACCACTGGGTGGGAGACGGACAGCTGGAATTTGAATAGGGACCACAATCATGAGCACACCCAGACAGCTGAGGTCCGAGTGAGGTCCCCCGAGTGGTTGACATGTCCTTGTGATCACTCCACCCCATTTGGCTCCACACCTGTGGCTACATTTCTGGTCAATCAACTTGCCTTTAATCTGGAGCACCTTGACCTAACTTACCTACAAGAGGATGCTCTCACAGGCTCTGAACTGACATTTCCCTGGAGTTAGAAGTTCAGAGAAAAACACAAGTGGGATAGCTGCCCAACTGATCTCTAGAGCATTGTCTTCAGATCTAGAACATATCAATGTCTCGAAGAAAGCAAGCTATCACACACAGTGCACAAGCGCAAAGCAAGATGTCACTCCCGAAGTATCAATGTATCAATGGATTTCCTGAAGCCAGATGGTCTGATGGAACTTTCTGACACAGAATTTAAAAGAAAAATGACTGAATATTTTCAATGGATGAAAGACAAACTTGAGGAATTACAGGATACTACAAGCAAAAACAAGAAGGAGCGAAAAAAAAAATAATCCAGAACAATGTAGAAAAAGCAAACAAGGCATTAGCGGGACTGGAAAGAGAAGAAACCACTATCGAAAATATGAGATCCAATGTTTCAGATGCTGTCAAAATGATGGAGGGACACATGAGCAGAGTTGAAGAGATGGAACACAGAACCAGTGAAATTGAAGACAGAATTGTCACCACTGATCTGCTAGAGCAAAAGGCAGACTCAAGAAAGAAGGAAAAAGAAAACCTAAGAATAATGTGGAACACCATCAAGAGAAATAACATGTGCATCATTGGAATCCCAGAACAAGAAGAACCAAGTAAAGGCACCGGAAAGAGTTGTAGAAGAATTACTATAGGAAAACTTCCCAGGCATAATGAAGAATGAGAGAATATATGCTCAAGAAGCTGAGTGAACACCATATAGAATAGACTCTGAAAGAAAAGCACCAAGACATAATATAGTTAAATTTGCCAGAACCAAAGATAAGGAGAGAATCCTGAAAGCAGCAAGGGAGAAACAGAGTAACCTATAAGGGAAAGCAGATAAGGTTAAGTGCAGATTTCTCAGAAGAAACCATACAAGCAAAAGTCAGTAGAATGACATATATCAAACACTCAGAGAATATAGCTGTCAACCAAGAATACTGAACTCAGCAAAATTATCCATCAAATATGAAGGAGAAATCAAGATATTCCCAGAAAAACAGAACCTAAGAGAGTTTATAAAATAAGACCAGCATTACAGGAAAGACTCAGAGATATCCTTCTTACAGAGGTACCACAGAAAGCAGCGTAGACTAAAGTATACCTAGCAACAACACCGAAAAGAACTCAACACAATGATAGCAATAAAATCTTGTCTCTCAATAATTACAATGAATGAGAATGGTTTAAATGCACCACTAAAGGGAAAAAGAGCAGCAAATTGGATAGAAAACCAAAATGTTGTCTGCAAGAGACACACCTGAAAAATAAAGATAGAGAAAGACTAAAAATAAAAGGGTGGGGGAAAATATAAGAAGGAAATGGCAACCAGAAAAAAGCAGGAGTAACGATATTAATCTTTGATAAAACAAATGTCAATGTAAAAACCAACGCAAAGGATGAGGAAGGAAGGTCAGTATGTAATACTGAAAGGGTCTATAGAACAAGAGGACATAACAAAAATAAATATCTATGCACCAAATGAAAGACCTAAAAAAATACATAAAACAAACATTAACAAAACTGAAAAAGGAAATAGACAACACTACTATAGTACTTGGAGACTTCAATACACCCCTCTCAAGAAAAGATAGAACTACCAGAAAGAAACTCATCAAAGATACTGAAGAATTAAATCACACAATAAACCAACTTGACTTCATTGATATTTATAGACTAATGCACTCAAAAAAAGCACAGTATACTTTCTTCTCCAATATGCATGGAACGTTCTCCAGAATAGATCACATTCTAGGGCACAAGGCAAACATCATTAAATTAAAAAACGTAGAAATAATTCAGCGCATCTTTTTCAGATGCATTTTTGTAATGCTATAAAATTAGAAAGCAATAACAAGAAGATAAAGGAGGGGAAAAAACCCCATACATTTGGAAGCTGAACAACACCTTGCTTGAACATGACTGGTTACTAGAAGAAATAAAAAAAATGAAATTAAAAAGTTCCTTGAAAAAAATGATAATGAAAACACCACCTACTAAAAACTCTGGAAACAGCCAAAGCAGTAAATAGAAGACAATTTCTAGTAATAAGCAAAACATCAAATGCAGGAAAAATTGACCATTGACTCTCTAACCCAACATCTCCAGCAAATTGAAAAACAAAACCAAGAAAACACGACATCCTCTAATAAAACTGAAATCATAAAAAGTAGAGCAGAAATAAATGAGAAAACAGAAAAGAATTAAAACTATCAACAAAACCAGGAGTTGTTTCTTTGAAAAGGTCAATAAAATCAACAAACCATTAGCAAAACTCACAAAAGGAAAGAAGACACAAATAATCCAAATAGGACATGAATCAGGCAACATCACAACAGACCCAACCCCCCCCCAAAAAAAAGGTAACAAAGTAATATGAAAGGCTATACTCAAACATATATCAAAGCCTAGAGGAGATGGACAAATACTTAGAAATGTTAAACCTACCTAAACAGACACAAACCAAAATTAAATATCTGAACAGACCCATTACAAAAGAAGAAATTGAAAGATAATACAACAACTTTCAACCAAAAAAAGCCCTGTACCAGATGGTTTAACAAGTGAATTTTATCAAACATTCAGAGAAGAACTGTCATTAATCTACATAAACTATTTCAGAAAATAGAAAAAGATGGAATTCTCCCAGACTCATCCTATGAAGCAAACATATCTTTGATACCAAAACCAGGAAAGGACACCACCAAAATAGAAAATTATAGGCCAATATCTCTTATGAACATAGATGCAAAGATTCTGAATAAAATACTGGCCAATAGAATTCAACAATACATAAAAGAAATAATTCATCATGACCAAGTAGGATTCGTAACAGGTATGCGAGGATGGTTCAACATAAGGAAAACAATTAAAGTAATGCATCACATTAACAAAGCAAAGACCAAGAACCACATGATTTTATCAATCACGTTGATGCAGAAAAAGGTCTTTGACAAAATCCAACACCCTTTCCCGATTAAAACATTCAACAAAATAGGATTAGAGGGGAATTCATTCAACATAGTTAAAAGTATTTATGCAAACCTGGGAGCCACCATTGTTCTCAACTGAGAGAGGTTAAAGGCATTCCCTTTAAGAACAGGAACTAGGAAGGATGCCCACTATCACCTCTCTTATTCAATATGGTATTGTAAGTCTTAACTATAGCAAAAAGATAAGAGAA